GGTACCTCCAATTTAGGTTCCTGAAATGGCCATTGACCAAAATTAGCATCAAACATGTAACATGGGGACAACCATGGCAGCAACTGGCCAAGCAGTGATTAGCAGCCATGAAAAACAAGGGATACTATAAGACTATATCATAGATGTAATTTTCCCATTGTTTGCTTGATCAATAGAGAAAATAGAGGCGATAACCCGGCTTCAGAACCGATGGGTCAAACATGATGAATGGTATGCTAAACTCCCCATGGCCACTATTTTTTTCTCAAGGACATTGTTGGGGGATAATGATATAGTCATAATAGTCATTCCCCAGAAGAAGGATGATGCCCAACAACAATGTCCATGACTGGCCATGACTACATCCGCCAAGAAATGAACATATAGTAACATAGCACAACATGTTATCAACTTGTTTGGTGGCTTGGTACATGGCTACTAAACTATTTTAATGATGATTTACCTTCACGGGTTGCTGGACAATTTCCCACGTGTTTGATGATTTTACCAGCGAACGATTCCCGGCTCCGTGGCTCGTTCCGGGAATTTCCAAGCCATGTTTGATGACCAAGGTACATCATGGGAGGCTTTGATGGCTCACAAACGACCTCCGTGAGTGAGTCATGGCAGACTTGGATCTACGAAAGTTACTGCTTGTTGATGTTGTACCGTTGTATACTAAAGTTACTGGTGGTTGATCTTCTAAAGATACTGGTGATTGATCTACCAAAGTTACTTGCATTTGTTTTTTTTCCCGAAATGCTTTCTTTCACAGAGCGTTGGATGAATCACCGCGAAATATTGGCCCTCTTTTGATGCGACCATCAGTTGGATCAGTTGGCTGGTTTTTCGGAATAAGGAGCAACTGGTGCTTCCTTCGAAAAAATGGAAGACAAGTGAACTGCCGGTGGCTACTGAGTGGGGTGCTGCTGTTCGCGTCCTACGATGATTTCTTTGTCTGCGGGGACCGATGTAGCCCTGCCAGTGACTGTTCCATCCTGAATTGGCCAGGGTGATTCTAGTGTGGTGAACCCAGTGTAGACCAAGTTGATAGTATTTGGGCATGCGGTTTATAGTTGCAGGCACTTTATACCCAGACTGGTAAAAGGTGTAAAAGTGGTATGCTGCAGATGGCTTATGGTTTATGGTCGGTTTTACCACATTTTGGAATTCAATGGGCTGAACTGACCACAAAAAAGGCATATAAGAGCCTAATTTATTGTACATGATTGGAGCATGCGACGTTGCGGTTAAAAGGTCGCAGCAAACAAGCGCAGACAGCTCCCTGCCCAACCTGCTTGGATGTGAATCGCACTTGTTAAAGTGTTGTTCATAAACATGGTCCCAGCCGTTTTTAAATGGTACGAACATGATATAAACAATGGATATAACTGCCGGAGTCTTTTGGAAGTGGCTGGCCTTGCCCCTTCACTCACCTTCGCCCCAGGCTGACTTGATGAGTTTGGATCCTGCTTCCAGCCATGCCATTGCTGCAGCTGCTAAAAGCGGTGCCAGACTCAGGGGAGGGCTGGGCATCAAATTGGCCGCTTGAATCAGGAGAAAGGATGATAAAAGCATGCTTTTTTGGGGGGTCCCTAATGTTTAGAATATTTTAGAATAAATCAACAGGAACAAAGTGAAAACCGGAGTGAAGTTGCGCTTGTTCAAAGATGTCGCCAATCCCCCAAAAAAGATGAAAATTACTTTACTTCGAGTTATCCCCACCATGACAATTATACGTTTTGTTACTGGCAAATCTTCTGGCATTCTATCTGACATATCTTCTGGCATTTTATCTAGCATATCTTCTGGCATTCTATCTGGCATATCTTCTGGCATATCTTCTGGCATTCTACCTGGCATATCTTCTGCAATATGTTCTGGCGTACCTTCTGGCACTCTATCTGGCATATCTTCTGGCATATCATTTGACATTCTATCTGGCATTCTATCTGGCAAATCTTCTGGCATTCTATCTGGCAAACATTCTGGCACTTTATCTGGCATACCTTCTGGCATTCTATCTGGCATATTTTGTGGCATTCTTCCTGGCATATCTTCTGGCATTTTATCTGGCATATCTTCTGGCATTCTATCTGACATTCTATCTGGCGTTCTATCTGACATATCTTCTGGCATTCTATCTTCTGGCATATCTTCTGGCATATCTTCTGGCATTCTATCTGGCATTCTATCTGGCATATCATCTGGCAAATCTTCTGGCATTCTATCTGGCATATCTTCTGGCATTCTTTCTGGCATATCTCATGGCATTTTATCTGGCATATCTTCTGGCATTCTATCTGACATTCTATCTGGCATATCTTCTGGCATTCTACCTGGCCGTTGAGGTCCAGCGGTGCACACTGAGCTGGGCAGGTCCCAGGTTGAGGTCCAGCGGTGCACACTGAGCTGGGCAGGTCCCAGGTTGAGGTCCAGCGGTGCACACTGAGCTGGGAAGGTCCCCGGTTGAGGTCCAGCGGTGCACACTGAGCTGGGAAGGTCCCAGGTTGAGGTCCAGCGGTGCACACTGAGCTGGGAAGGTCCCAGGTTGAGGTCCAGCGGTGCACACTGAGCTCGGAATTTGGCGAAGAGGTGGCAAGGCGGAAGTAGAGGTGGAAGTTGATGCAGACATGGTCGAGGAGAAACTGGAGGAGGAGGCGAGGAGGAGGAGGATGGCGAGGAAGAGGAGGACAACAACTCTGATAAAATCTAACAACCCTCACCTGGCAGGTGGGGAAAAAACGCACAAATCATAATCTGGAGGTTTTTCTGTTTTAGGGATGATCTTCCTATATGATTCCCATATATATGTTCCCATATATTCCCATAGGATTTCCTGTTTTTTCCACCGGTTTTTCCCATTCACTCGGCCCTGAGGTGCCAGTGATGCGGGCTGCGGAGAGGCCGAAAGTGCCTGGATCGCCAGTCACGCAGCGGCTGCCGCTCGATTTGATCCGTCGATCTGGCGGCTGCCACCAGTCGAGCCATCGGGAGCCCGTTGTGAATGGGGATGGTAGATGGTAAGCGTAACTACTATATATATATATAGGTTACCAACAGTAGTATATATGTAGTTGATAATACTATAGTTAGTTAGTACTGATATCCAGTAGTTATTGATATATATATATATGTGTGTATAAGGATAGTGAATGGATTATCAATAACTACTGGATATGTATATAAACCACTACTGTAAACTACTTAGATACAACAAGGATTGAACTGATGCAGTAGTAATGTAATAGTAATATTAGTAATGCAATAGTGAAGATAACATCAATGATAGAACTTTTAACTATGGGATACCCTCTGGTAAACGTTTACATAACTATGGAAAGATCATGAAAGATCCACCATATTTAGTGGGAAAATCAATTATAAATAGGCAATTTTCAATAGCAAAATGTTAAAATGTTGAATTACCAGAGGGTAATAGTAACTATCTATACATATATATATATATATATATGTAGGATTACCCTCTGGTAAATAAACATAGACCCTGAAAATTACCTATTTTTAATGGAAACTAATCTTACAACCCCTATCTGGCAGGGTCTATGTTAATTTACTGGAGGGGAATAGGCTTATAAACTTATAAATTACAGATTGATTATAGTTGATAATAGTAACTATAGACCATTAATCATTACTAATAACTGTTTTAATCGCAATTTAATCGTCATTAATCACCATTTTACAATCATCAATAACCGCTACGAAAAAATGTGGGAAACACACTGCCATAAACCAGCCATGACTGGGAATGGTTTATATGTACCAGCTATTTATGGTCAAATTGGGATTGGTTTATTATTTGTTGTACCAACATTATTGTTAACCAATCACAACTAATCATCATTAGTCACCATCAATCAGCATTGAATCATCAATATTCACCATGGAAAATCATCAATTATAGACAGTAGTAACTATAGGCTTATAAAAAGCACTAAATGGGATGGTCCTCCAGGGATTTAACGTGATTCGGCACGAGGCAGTGCCCAGCCATCGTTGTTGCTTTATAGACCTTATGAACATTCATGAACTATAGCTACAAATTGCTATAATGACTATAGACCCCCAGTGAAGCACTAGCTATTCTTGACCAACTTTGCTAACATCATTCAACTATAAATCCCATTAAATCCCATTTTTTCTTGGTTAAATTGCCATTTTCCTATGGTTAAATCATCATTTTCCATGTTTGGTTGGTTCAACATCCACCATTTTTTGGTGACTGAACACCCCATGTTTTCAGACCCACGCGGGTTTAATCCCCCACGGTTTCGTCCCTGAGGAAGCTATCGCCAAGACGGTGCGAAGCTCAGGTTTTCGTCCGGTTTCGAAGCTCGATTTTCAAAAAAAAACAAAGTCTGGTTGGTGGTGAGGTCGCTTTCACTTGGAAAGTGGCTTTGCTTGGGAAAAGGATCCCAGAAAACTATCGAAAACTGATGTTTAGTGAATTGTTGGTATAATGATATACTGGTTGGTGGTGACTGGAACCATGGAATTTTGAATGACTTTCCATTTTATTTGGGAATGGAATGTCATCATCCCAACTGACGAAGTCCATGATTTTTCAGAGGGGTAGCTATACCACCAACCAGAAGTATAAGCTGCCAGGGATTCTTCACAGAATAGTATTAGAATAGTCCCCGAGTTTTTTGTTCGCATTTTTTTCGTGCTGATTCTGACGAGATATTTCATCTTGAGCATCATATGTCTTTGGTATGCTTTGGTTGAAAGGTGGGTATCCCCGATCCAACGCTGAATGGCATTTTTTTGGTTGGTTCAATGATTTTAATCCCCCAAAAGTAAGTATCATTAATAGTTAATGTCCTATCACTAATCCCCCAAAGTAATCTTCCATATATTTATAGTTAATGTCCAGTTATCCCAATTTTCAATGGCGTGGGTCATGTGCCATTTAGGTAGTCACGTAGTCCATTTCCAGTAGATTCGGTAGATCTGATGGGGCCAAAATTCTGCCAGGCAACTGAACGTGGAGCCAGCACGAAGGCCTTGAAGATTTGGCAAAACCCTCACCAATGTGACTTTTTTTTAGAAAATGTGAGAAAATGGGGGGTAACATCGTTTAATCAAATGATTTGTTACATGTATGTGCATACACACACACACACACATATATATATACTGTACATATATATATATATCTCTCTCTCTCTTTCTTAAACTGCATTCTTGAATATACAGTAGTTATTATATGATATCGGTAATTGTTGATGTAAAGTAAAGGGTTCCTTTTCAAATGGCATGGGTTTGGTTGCTGGAGGCTCAGCATTGGCAGGTTGTAGCTGCATTGGCCCTGGCTGCTGCGCAAGCTTCTGGTGTTCCGCAGAATCAGGCGAGCGAGAGCTTCTGGTTTGGGTACCAGGAATGGGGTGTCCATGTAAACCCAAAATGTTGCATTCAATAACAGAGTGGGTTGGTAGAGTTAGAATGCACTTCAACCTTCCAGAAATTCGACATAGACATTGAAACCCACGGGTTTGCGAGGGAAAATGGTCTACGACTGAAAGGTACAGTAACCCCCGCATTTGGCATTTCAACGAGGAACATAATGATATAACATATATGGGTTTGTCCAAAACATGGGTGTGCGGGAACCATGTTAGCTTGGAACAAACACAAAAAATGTATGGTTGATTCCCATTGCCACCCCAACAAATCTAGACCCCAACAATCAGCAAGTTTTCGCGGAAAGGAACTTCCAACCCCCAACTCATGATAGGGTCGGTTTGTTCGTTGGAAGGTGTATCACCAATAAATTAAATGCTGGTTGGTGGTTTGGAACATGAATTTTGTTTTTCCATAATATACATATATATATATATATGGGATAATCCTTCCCATTGACTAATATTTTTCAAGATGGTTAAAACCACCAACCAACCAATGTGTTGTTTTTTTTTTCATCCGTGTTGAACAGGACCAAATTATACCAAAAACCCTCTCACGTGCTCACGAAGCTAAGCGCTAAAGATAAGCGCTAAGGCTCAGCGCATCTCTGCATGGAGTGCCTCAAAGGCAGCTAGCAATCAGGCGACGGAGGGGCTAGAGACTGGTGTGGGATACATTTTATATTAATGATGTGTTTTTCCCTCCATCCAGCGATGGAACATCATAGAATCCCTGCAACCAACTTTTTGTAGGGTTTAGTTGGATGATTTAATCCAGATAGATAGAAAGATAGGTAGATAGATAGATAGACAACCTATATTTAGTTCACAAGAACTATACAAGCAAAAAGCAAGGATTGTACATACCCCCCCATATAACAGAACCAAAGCCAACCAAGAATGGCAGCGGATTGCGGGCAAACCATAATTCCTAGGTTACACTAATTAGAATTTTCATGCTTTATCACCAATGCCATCGACATTAGGCCATGCATTCAATGAGGGCACCATTTGGGATAGCATCAGCTGTGCAGGGGTTGGCATGCAATTTTTTCACCTCTTGAATGGAACTGAATTGAATTGAACAACAGTTACTTCTTGGATGGCTTTCCTCCCAAAGTTAATCTGATCCTCATTTCATTTCAGGTTCCATTTGTGCCTATGGGTGTCAAACCCTCACTGCTTGTGCCTCGACTGTTCAGGGGCTAGACTGGCAAAGCCACAAGTTGATAGTTGAGGACAGTAAATTGTGGGAACATATGTCCGATTTAATGTGGGATGATTAATCTGACTTCTCTGTTCAATGGACCCCCAACTCACATGACCCTCCAACTCCAAGTCTCCCTAAAAATTGGTAAACGTCCCAAGTGTCATGGCTACATTAGCCCACTTGTTCATCATTTTTCTGTATTTGGAGGGTTCAAATAACTGGACCCAAGCGAATCAACCAGGGACCAATGGCTTCAGCCAGGCTTTGATCTTGGGAGCTTCTGTAGCAGCTGCACCTAGTGGGAGCCAACCGGGTTGCCAGGGTGGGGCAGACAAACAGATTTTTGTATGGAAACATTATGGCATGTGGTTTTCGACAGGTTCTTGGATGTTATTGGTTCCAAAGTAGGGAGAATCACGATTCTTTTTGTACTTTCAGCCATTCAGTTTGTGGACATCAGTGACTTCATTGGCCGACCAGGACCCATACATTCTGGATTTTGTGTCCGATGGAATTTTCCAACATTGCTTTAAATCTGGCTTGGGTTTTCTTTTGTTTACATTCTCCAGATACATTGTGTACATCTAGGCATTGTCATTGTGTTTTGCATTGTTGCCGTGACCCTGCTGTGACGGGGTCGTAGCGATGTCCTCCCATACTAAATATGGTGATTCCAGGAAATTTCTGTGACTGAAGTCTTTGTTTGCAAGGTCATTTTGCCATTGGCATGTTTGTCATGTGCAAAAGGTTTCACACGCTACATTTCAGGGGATACTGTCACCAGTGGAATGCATGGCAACCCCGCAAATTTAAGATTGAACATGATATTGCACATAGCAATGTGTGGGTTCGAAAGTTCAATGCGAGCGTGGAACATAGATAATTTGTAGATAGATGTAGATAGAACAGTTCAAAACCACATAAAACTTAAACTTGAAGTTATATTTTCTAAAATAAACAAATCAATCAAAATCATCTATAGCATTTTGAGGAAAGAAAACCATTTATTCGTCTTTTGTGGGCGCCCCGTCAAGTGATCCTTGAAGATCCCAGGGATCCTTGAAGATCCCAAGGCTGAGACCGGTGAGATCGCCCTGGCTGCTGCCCACTTCGCGGGCTTGAAGGGTGGAACTGCCAGCAGGCAGCCCGGCAGGGTTGAAACCCCCAAGAAGAGAAATAAGTAGTTAAATCATGTTAAATCCTACCAAAATAACGATTATTTGATGATAAAATATTAGTGTTGTTAGTGATGTTTGTTTTTTTTTTTCCGTTTCTTTGTGGGGGAATGATGATGAATTATGTTCGAATCTGTTCTATCTTTTTGGGGGATTGCTCTACACATATAGTCATCGCACGGGATTCCTTGCGATGGGTTGCTTATGGTTGCCAACTAACCACCAATGGGAGCATGGATTCGTCAGAGAATTATGGGACAAGTTCCAAATCACTGGTTGGATCATGATTTGCCCATACAGATGCTCATTTTGGATCATTTTGGCGGAATTTCCCAGTTTCAGACACACTCACCCATGGAAAATTGGGATAACATCATTAACATCGGATGACTTTTGAAGATCTACAGACAGTTCTCCTTTCAGAGCTGCTGACTTGGTTGAAACTTGGTGTCCTTGGATGTGCATCTGTGCATCCATGATATCAAGTGGTAGACCTCACATATATCATAGACCTCACAATCGCATTATCATCATAACCATAGTTAATTCATATACAACTGGGGTTTATCTGTCTATCTATCTATTTATCCATCTATCCATCCATCCATCTATCTATTATTTATCATTATTTATCTATCTGAACATATGTACATACATATGTGTTCAACCCGCAAAGATAATATAAGAGTCATGGATTTTGCGTGGTTTAAATTAAGCCACCTGTTTTGCCAGGTTGGCAGCTGAAGCAGCTGCCAATGCAGTGTTGCAACAGGCGGAAGATGATGTGGTAAGAAAAAGGTTGGTGAAGGTGTGGTAAAATCTATGGATAATACTGGTTAGTAGTGGTTAATAATGGTTAATACTGGTTACTAGTGGTTTATGATGGTTTATGATGGTTGGGAATGGCTTAAAATAGGGGTAAAACCAGCAATAGTGGATCATTGAAATAGTATGTGCATGGGTGGCAAGTCCCACGGTTCGATTTCATTTTTCATGTTTCCGCGGATTCTCTAGCCATTTCTTGGAGATTAACGAGGGACAAAGAAGGTATTAAATTGTTTGATCTCCCCGGTCCCTGAGTGCGGCGATTTCCAGCGATGTACAACGGGTCTAAGGGGAGCCATATCTATGTCCGGCGGCTTTGCCGAGAGCTTCCCATGTTCCCTGCGTTAGAACAATTGTCATCATCATCATCATCATCAGCAGCAGCAGCATCATCATCATCATCATCACCATCACCATCACCATCATCATCATCATCAGCATCATCATCATGATCAGCAGCAGCAGCATCGTCGTCATCATCATCTTCATCATCATCATCATCATCAATAACCATTAATAACCATTAATAACCATTAATAATAATAATAATCATCATCATCAGCAGCAGCAGCCTATACTGTAAATGTTCTTTACTGTCGGGCTACATATTACTGTGATTTCACCAGGCCAGAGACAGCAGCGCCAGTCATTCGCACATGGTGAGCTCAGCTCAGGGTGGCTAAATGGTGGGCCAAATGGGTTTCATAATGGGTGGCTGATACAATCCCATCCATCGTTCATGTTTAAGACCCCCATTGTATGGCCGCAAAAAACATGGACAAATGTCTATTAGACCATAGTTTCTTGCGGGTGTGTTTAATATCATGTAGGGGGGGTGAGATTAGTGGCTGAATGTTTGCAGATGTTTGCAACTCTTTGTAGCTGTTGGGTAACGCATTGCCCTGAAAGCATCCCTGAATAACCATCATTAGCCTTACCAAAAATAAATACAATTGACCAGTTTTAAACCATCCCCAATGCTAGGTTTCAACTGTTTTTCTCAAGCCTAGGACGATGATCCCAATTCACCCATATTTGTTGAGATGTGTGGCTCAACCGCCAAAATGCCCAATGGCCCCCGTGACCAAATCGCGGGAATCTAGGCCGTGAAGTGTAAAGAGGCTGCCCTACACGCGGGCCTTGAGCCTGCTGAAACCTAGCTGCAGTAAGTGGCCAGGACTCAGATACTCAGCATGGCCTGCATGGCCTAAAAGGTTGGGATAAAGCTTAAACCCAAGCAGTAACTTTCGTTTATGGTAGATATATGGAACGAACTCGTTCATCTAGTTCATGGGGTGGAACCAACTTACAGGCCAAGTGATGGCAATTTTACACTTGGTTTTGATTGGTTTTCCATGGATTTTCGGAGTTTCCAATTCTGAGGCTTTTCAGTGTCTGGTGACGTCCATGGATTGTGTTTCATGTCCATCCTACCGGGGGTGTTGTTTTTTCCGGCGGCTTGAAATCACCAGTTTGGGCCTTTTTCATATTATGGCATCAACGGGAGGCCAATAAAAAAACACATAGTCATCATTAATAGTAACTCTTTTTGACTGGTGAGGGGGGCACCGGAGCAAATCTCAGAAGTGACATCTCCCAACTTGAATCACATTCCTTCTATAGCAATGTTCATCAATGCCCAAAGCTTAATACCGGTATATCCAACACAGGTAAAGAGCACCATAATCCAAGGAACAACAATACCGGATCGCCCACCAATTCTTGAGGTTTCATTCGGGAATCAACTGGTCCTCGTGGACATCCAATGACACGAAAGCCAAACACTTGTCCGAACAGTGGCTCCAATCCCAGCATTTGCTTCAACTTCTGCCACAGCACCCATGTCCGTAGTGCAGGCTATGGATTGAAACAGTTTTCAAAGTACCCACAACAAAAAAAAAGAAACGGCGTAGCGAGTTGTTAATCCCTCCATTTGGGGAAACATCTAGGGCCTTTGGCCGATTTGTTTCACGGCTTGTGATTAAATACCCCATGGAGAGGATGCTAAAAAAACCCTCCCAGTTTGACCCATGGGATATTAAACCCATCTAAACTGTGTTTATTTTTATCCCATGTTGATAGGTTTTGACCCATGCAAGAAATGACAGTTTCCGTTTGGGGGGTCCTGTGGGTACCAGGCAGCTTCCTTGCTTGCAGCCTCATTGGTTTGCCCGAAGGCCGGGCATTGATGACTCCAAGTCCTTTGATTGAGATTGTGTTTCACGAAATTTGAATAGATTATAGTAAGCCACCAAAAGATAGACACGCTATTGATCACTCATTTTGACATAGTTGTGTTTGTTTAATGTCATTTTATATCTCTATCTATTTGGGTGGGGTTGCTTGTTCTTTTATTGTGCAAGGCAGCGAGCTTCAGATCTCTCCATGCCCAGGCTGCCGAGGTTGCCGCCACCATGCAGCAGTCTCCGCATGAGATTGGTTCCGTGGCACGGGCCGCGGCGAAGGCGCGGATAAATTTACGGTCCACGGGGACCTTTTTGCGGATTTGATCAACAAAACAAAAAATGTAGGATAACTACAATGTGGGTAAAACAATAGCAAACTATAATAAACTACCCTTGACTGTGAATGGATTGAATCCCACCTATTTATGGTGAAATTGGGGATGGTTGATTATTGTTTTACCCACACTAATGACATTAATGTGAATTTTCCAGTGGTATCCTACCTTTTTTTGCGGGGATATGTTTTCTAGAAAGGG